GGGAGAGGGAGAGGGAGAGGGAGAGGGAGAGGGAGAGGGAGAGGGAGAGGGAGAGGGAGAGGGAGAGGGAGAGGGAGAGACAGTGTCTGTCTATGCCACACACTCAGCAATCATCCCATAATGCAGCTAGTGTGACAGACTGTTGCTTTTCTACCATCCACAGCCTTCACCTTAACACCTTCATCTTTCCTCTTCATGTATTTATTGAAACACACAGCTTCCTGAAAACATCAATTTTTACAGCAAAGTTCTTCTCCTGGAATGCTTGCAAAGAGCCCCCAACACAAGCCCAAATTCTAGGATCGGTCTCTAAGGTGCCAAAACTCAGGTGCTTGAGGTAGCCTTGGGGGTATGTTTAAACCTCACTGTTATCTGTCACCATATGTCAGAAATGCCATGTGTTTAAGGGCTAGTGCACCCTGGGTCACAGCTTTACAGGTTTTTCATTATTATATTTGACCCATATATAGTATATTTCTTGTACTTTAACTCTATAAAGAGTGTCCATTCTTGGGGCTGCAGAGATGGGCTCTAAGAGCACTGACTGCTCTTTCAGAAGATCCAAGTTTGATTCCCAGTACCCAGGTGGGTAATTCATAGCCCCTGCTATAGGGACTGTGACACCCTCTAGCCTCCTCAGGCATCAGACATGCAAGTGGTGCCCAGACGTGTATTCAGGCAAAAATCCATACAAATAAAACAAACAGAAATTTACAAAAAAGAATATCTACTCTTTTTGTGTGTGTGTGTGTGTTGTAGAGGCTTTTGTGCACGGTACACATGAGGGTCTACTGGCTTGTGTGCATGTGTATCGAGACTGTAGGTCAATGACAGGTATCTTTCTATTCCATGCCACCTTATTTTTAAGACAAGTGCACCCAGTGAGTCCCTGGCATCACCTGCCACTGTTCTCCATAGCAGGGTTACCAAAGCATCCCAGCACATTTGGCTTTTATGTGGGTACTAGAGATCTGAATTCAGATTCTTGTGGCTAAGCAGGAAGAGCTTCACCCACAGAGCCATTTCCCCAAGCCAGGATAGCTCCTTTTTTGTAAAATTAAGGAGACAACATACAGATATTTAAAAAATGAGTGCTTATGGGTGACGAGTACACCTTTGTTGAAATAAAACCCTGTATGGCAAAAGACAGGCCAAAAATTCAGGCCAAAGTAGTTCAACCAGGACAACAGCCCAGGTGTGTTGGAAATGACATGGAGCCCCTTTCTGCACCCCTGACATCTATCACTGGATTAAACATGTCAGGCTTCATGGTCAGGTGCTACTTTGCTTAACTGGTGACATTTTTCAAGTGTAAAGAGACAGAGTCTGGTCACATCTCCTAAGGCATACTTAGGTTCACAGCTCTTGTATCCCGTAGGAGTGATGCCGCAGTTCCCAGATATGTCGCTTTTGGAATTCAGCTCCGAGTAACATTCGTTTGTACCGAAGTCTGCATCTGTAAGTTAGGCAATTGACATGGTGTCAGTTAAACTGTTTTAATACAGGGCATTAAAACAAGGAATGAAGACTTATACAACCCTGAAATGGTTTGGAATATAGTGCACAAGAGATGAAAGGTAAGCACCACATAGAACTGAAAACTGAGGACTTGACCCACCTCAGTGACACAGTTCCAACTTCATGTACCTGACACAGTGTCTAATATGTAATGTTAACAACCCCATACACGTCAACAAAAAGCTAGTTGTTTGTTTGTTTGTTTGTTTTCCGAGACAGGGTTTCTCTGTGTAGTCCTGGTTGTCCTGGAACTCACTCTGTAGACTAAGCTGGCCTTGAACTCGGAAATCCGCCTGCCTCTGCCTCCCAAGTGCTGGGATTAAAGGCGTGCGCCCCCACTGCCCGGCAAAAAAAAAAAAAAAAAAAAAAAAGCTAGTTTTTAAAAACAAGTAATTGATGTTCTGGTGAATAAAAGTGGGTTTTATTTTTTGTTTTGTTTGTTTTTTGTTTTTGTTTTTTGTTTTGCATACATGTCTTTTCAGTCAAACTGCTCACCAGTTGCTTTTTGTCTCTGATTTTTTCCTAGATTCAATTCTCCCAAGACCCGAATAACTTAGAGAATAGTTTCTGTTTTCAACCTCTGTCCATTCTTTTCTTGTTGAAGCCTCTGATAGGGACATTTGACATTGCTGGGCTAAAGGAAAGTGACAGGACACAACAGCAGCCCTGGACAGATACTAGGTGCTCAGCTGAGTTGCCTAGAGGTGCCAGTGAACCCAAAGTTAATGGTTCATTATGTCTTGGAAACCATTTGCCAAATCGGTTGTGGGTAAGAAATAAAGATTTTGAGCTTGGTTAGGGGCATCAAACTGTTCTTTGTGGACCAGAAAAAGAAAAAAAAAAAAAACCACAGGCAGAATCAGAATATGTAATAGCCACAGGGACTATATTTGACCCCTCACACCCTGTTGGCTCTTTTCCAGCTTCCTCTTGAGTGTAAACAAGGACAAGATAGGAGATGAGAGACTGGAGAGGTGGCTCAAATTGCATGATAGTTTCCTATCTGCTTGAGTATCCATCAAAGCATACAGCTGAAAGCCCTGGAGACCCATGGGTGAGTCAAATTCTAACTGATACCTAATGAGTATCAGTTATCAACAAATACCGAATGAACCCAGACAACTGCCCTCGCCTTTTAGGCTCAGCAGAATAAAGAGATGACTGGCAGTGGTCTGCAGGACTCTAAGTCCACAGACAGGCCTCTTTAACATCAACCATGGAAGAGGGAAGATATGCCTCTATCTGCAAGTTCACTCAAGAATAAACAGAACAAAGTTAGTTAGCTGAGTGAAAATGACTGAGTAAGTATCTTAACATACATACACACGGAAAAAAATTCCAAAAGGCACAATCTACAAGAAATAAAAAGTATCAGAAATATACGGAATGGAGAGATTGTTAAGAATTTTGACTGCTCTTTCAGAGGACCCCAGTTTGATTCCCAACACCCACCGGCATAAAATAAAAATAAATCCCCAATCATTTAAAAGAAATAGAAATGGAAGTAGATAATTAGGTACAAGTTTATATTTGATTTTTGAGGATTGTGTGATAACGTAACACTTAGTTCATGTTGCAAGAAACTCAGAGAACACTAAGCAGAAGTTCACAGTTAGGCCGGCATGATGACTCAGCAGTTAAAGGTGATTGCCATGCAAACCAAATTCATTTTCAGCCCTAGGAACCTACAGTGGGAGGAGGGAACTGGATCTTAAAAGCTGACCTCTGACCTCTACACATGTGGCATAACATATGCACACCTTCATGATGCATTACACACACACACACACACACACTCCCAGGCTCACACACCACTAACAATAATAAATACACTTAAAAAAAGAAAAAAAAAGAAGTAAGCACACAGAATAGGGCTATCCTTTGGATTCTGAATATTCTTGAAGACTCAGTGTTAAATGTTTGGTGTGGAAATGAACGTTTGATGGAAGTTAAACCATGGTGGGGGGTTGTGGGGTGTGGGGTGGGAGGTGTGGGGTGTGGAGTAGAAGGTAGGAGGTGCTCTTTAAGGGGACACTCAAACCCTGGCAGCTACTTGTTCCTCTGCTTTCTGGCTAACATTAAGTATGGGCAGTTTCCTTCTCCACGTAACCTTACAATGACATGTCATTTCACCCACACATGGTGTGTTGAAGGTAACAGGGCCAGGGGACCAAGGATTAAACCTCTGAGACTGAGCCTGAACAGTGTTCTTTCCCTGTTCTCTCTTCTCTCCATCTCTCCCTCTCTTCCTTCTTCCTCAGTTGCCTGCGTGTGCGTGTTTGTCCCTGCATGTGTGCGTGCAAGTGTGTGCGTGTGTGTCTGCTTGTGTGGCTAGAGCTTAACTTTAGGTGTCTTTCTCAGCTGCTCCCCGTCTTACTCTAGATGCAGGATCTCTCAGCATACCAGGAACTTACCCATTTGCCTGGACCGATTGGCCACCTAGCCTCAGGAACCAAGGCAGAGATCCACGTGTCTCTGCCTTCCCCTTGCTAAAATGGCAAATGCAATGCAAACGTGCTAGACTTTTCTACGTGGATTCTGGGCCCAAAGTGAGGTCACTGTGCATGACAAGCATTTTACTGACTTAGCCATTACTCCAACCCAACTTTTTCCTTCTTAAGTGTATTGATCTTAGATATGTATTATTAATATCATAATGAAAAGCAACATAAACATGCATGTGCATGCACACCATATGATAAGGACAGAAAAACATAAAGATAACAACAACAAAGAAAATCCTAAGGAAAGAAAGAGAAGAACAATGCATTATGCATTATAGTTTCTCAGAAAACGTGGAAACCCCATGAGAGTGGAGCAACTATGAACTGGAAATAAAATCACTCTTCTTTCTTTACTCAGGATCCCTTCAGGCATTTCCTTTCCTCTGGGTCAAGAGAGGGCATTTCCTGAATGAATTGCACAGTGTTCTTCCTTGGAGTTTGAACGTATAGCCTGTCATCTATTTCTTATTTCTGGTAGTTCAGATTTGTAACCTCAGCTACATAGGAAGCTGAGGCAGGAGGATCACAAAGTCAATGCCTGCCTGGGATGCTGAGTGAGTGCAAGTCTAGCCTGGGAAACTTAGCAAGACATTGCCTCAAAAAGAAGGAGTGGAAAAGTAGTCAGTGGTGGGGTGGGGTGGGGGGCTGGGGGCTAGGGGTGTGGAGTGGGGGTGGGCTGGGGATGTTGGTGAGTAGAGGATGCAGAATACATGGGGGAGGTGTGGCCTTGGAACTAGTCTCAGTACCGCAGACAAAACCAAACAGATCTGTCTATTTCTTTTTAGCACTCAGAGAATGCTAAAATTGAAAAACCAAATGATTAAAGTACCTTCGCCAAATAGATCCTGGCACTGTTGTCCTCCACTCTGACAGGTGCCGTTAATACAGACCCACTTGTGTTGTGCACATGGTTCTCCGTCATGAACAAACAAGTCTTCCTCACATGTTGTGGATGTGCCGTTGCAGTACTCTGAGACA